ACACTCTGCATTGATTATTCTCATTTAAATTGATGGGAAAAAATCGTGTATCAATTTATCAAAGGAGAATAATATAATGTGTGTTTTTTAAATATTGGTGGTTCCGCGTCAAATTAAATGATTTCCAAAGCACATTAATTTTTTATTTTACGTTTTTTGCTTTTATTGTGCTGCAGCGAGGTGTATGCGCAACCAAACGCTCAAAATTTGACGTATTTGACCCAAAAAGACCGACGTGCAAATGGGTTAAAACTAAAGATTACGTGCTTCTTGGTCTTTTCCCCTCTTTTATTCATTTTTGCAGTTTTTGTCGGCACAACTGCGGCTCCTACATAACTTACATAACGCTTGGACCAAGTCACTGTTGCTTATTTTACGTGTGGGCGTAAACTACTGGACAAAAAAGGTGCGCGGACAAAAAATCGTTGACAAAATGTCCTGAAACCATGTCAAAGAGATTTTTTTTTTCTTCCAATAGCGAATGAGCGAAAAATGTACAGCTCAGAGTCTTTTTCTGGGGTATAACTAGCTTGCTCTTTAAAGGGATATTGTAATCATTCCTGATGTTTCACTCAGAAATAATTTTATGGTTGGGGTGGCAGTGCTGAGCTAATTTCTTCTACAATTTTTGTTGTTGGTTAGGAGGATGGGCATGATTTGTAGCGATGAGCCCATAGAGGGGCAACTGAAACTCTAAAATGCTTTTTTAAATCATTTTTCCAGCAGAAAAAATTAATCCGTGTTCCGGTATTTTTGACCCTTGACTAGCAAGCCTAAATAGTGCATTCATAATTTTTTTCTCAAGCAGTGAACCCCTTATGAACTGAATTTTTACTTTAAAAAAATTGCTTTCGTGCGTTTTTTCCTACGTTCGCTAACAATTATGCAATAGTTTGCACAGATGACATAGCACACAATAGACACATACAATAATTATTAGAACTTAGGAAAGAATTTAACCTCCCCCACCTACAGTATCAACAGAATTGTCAACGTTGCTCATATAGTTGCAGAATCTGCCTCCGAAATTGACCTATGAAATTCACTGAATTTATTCCACGATACTTCTCGGGAAAGTGGGTGGGGGCGATAAGAAAAATGTGTGTGTAAGTAAGGGCTCTTGGATCTAGCGTTTTCCCATTTGGCAGTATGAGTCAATGAAGGCTATCCAAAGGTTGATCTACTTTGGTTATCAGAGAGATGACAATCTTCAAAAATTATATCGAAGGCATTTATAAACCAAACCCTCTATTGAAAAATTCACGGTTTTTTAATGTTCACTTTACTTATACCATTTTAATGGAGGAGCAGCAAATACCACAAAACTTCTTTGAAAAAGTACGTCCTCAGTGAAATGATGCGAGTGTTTTATTACGTACGGCTAATTCTGTGCCGCTTATATCAGAAAAGCCGCCCGTCACATATCGTCAGAAAATGACTTAGGACATTCCTGACATGGGCATCTCTATGCAAAAGTTGTAAAGGTTAGCTAAACAAAATTACGCAAGTAGTGAATGCAAAAATCAAGTTTGAAAGAAGTAAAGTGTATAATATTAGAATACATTAAATCAGCAGTAACAACAAAATGAAAGGTAGGGGGTTTTTGCTTTTGTGTATTTGATTTTTTTACTTTTTTTTAGCGTTTTACTTTTTTTCAATAGAATTTTTACGATGCTTAATTCAATCCGTTCCTGATAAGATCCGGTGTCGTACAGGTAAAGAATATATTGACTTTAATGTTGAGTTTATTAAATTCAGCCAAGGAGATTGATTTAAAAATAAAAAATGAAATTTTTAACAAAATTTCTACTCAGGATGAGTTATCAAAATAACGAAAAGACATGTAGTCAAGTATAATTAGACGGAAAAAATCAAAACAATCAACTGAAAAACATGAAAAATGAATAGTGGTACCAAAAAACAAAATTGAGAAAGCGCGGCTGGATTTTTCAAACCGAATAACACAAAAAGTTAAATCGCGGACAAATGAGATAATTGGCGCCTGAAAATGACGCAAAATTTTAGTCGAGACAGAATCTTGTTGTGCGTTTCAATAATCTACTATATTGTTCTATTATTTCAATGTTGATTTAATGTTCATTTAACGATGTCACATCTTTCTTTTCTATTGAGAATTTAACACTTTTTTTTTCTTTTTTTTTTAGAATTTTCTAAACGATATAAACGATGGTGAGTATGGAATAATTAACTATAAAAGGTCTCAGTGTAGAATAAGTCCCTTTGAAAATTACATGAATGGAAACACCATCAAGGGAGGTCAAGGGTAGAGCACCTAGGGGTTTCTAATGACTCGGATAATCTGCATAAAAAACAACGCGTATAATATGATGATGCATGAAAATATGGTTGGAGACTCTATTTACGGCTTAAGACTTATGAGTTGCAGTTATCAATCAGCAATAAATTCTACTTAGCAGTATGATTAAACCTACAATCAGTACATCTGACTCTTTTTGTGGCAATGCTAAAAGGCAGCAGCTTCATTCATTTAATTATCATCCATTTTTTATTGATCACAGTATGGAGGAAAAAGGAAGCAGATTTAATGCAGTGTATTCAGAATAAAATTCAAATCCAGTATTTAAAAAATCATCAAGGTATCATTTTTCGATCTTGGCAATGATTATGATGAGAAAAACGTTCAATGAGAATTCTCAAGCTACTTTTCATTAAAAGGGCGATGCTTTAAAGTTGCGAGTTTATCTCAAGCATTGAGTCTCAGGGAAGAATAAAACTTCAAACTCCTCTTCCTCGAATGAATCTTGATGTGACTTAATTCCTTTCCGTTGAATTCGGCTGAAAGAATAGTCTGATTCAAACAAACGCCACGCACTACGAGCAAATATCGAGTCCTCGACAGGTTTCGATCAATGTTCATGAAAAGCATTTGAAAGAAATTATAGCCGTGCTTTGATCCAATTCGATAAAAACGTCATACCCGGTTTGATTACCTACGTATCGAATTAGACACAAACTTAATAAAACTTCCTCCTATCCTTCGTGTGAGAATAGCGGCAAATTGTGACGTCACGGCTGAGAAAAAATGATTACATGTGATTCGGAAGAGAAGCCTGGAGCGCCTTCATATGTTTCCTTATGCAACATGGACATCCATCACGCACGATTAGTTGCATCTAGGCGTTTTCATCAACCAAGCGCTATATCCGACAGCAGGCATCGACGATGAGACTACAAAACCACGTACCTCGATTCCGCTGTTGCAGAATTAACGCTTTTCTTCTCTTATTCAAGAAGGACTAATAATTTTGTACGAAATTACAGGAGGATACTTCTAATTTTGAAAATCCACGTGTGCAATAATTATGAAGATTTTTTTTTTGCATTAAAAGAAAGCACCTAAGACGGATAGTTCACAGCTTCAGGAAATGAGATAATAACTAGTCTATATAATTAAATCATCGATACCTGGTACCTATGCTGTGAATTTCCGATAACTACGAAACGATACAATTTTATGGCTGGTTTCTCTAGGCACATGGGAACGTATTTCGATGCAAGTGTACTACATAGCGATCGCAGACAATGGCTCATTTAGCACTTATTCTATATTTTTCAGTTGATTGTTTGTAATTATGTTGCGTGTTAAAATTAGCATGGTTAGAATTTAAGAGAGTAGAGCTACCTATTTTATGTTTAACAGAAAAATGTCTCTCTCTTTCGCGGAAGAGTCGTAAAGCAACAGTCCACGGTGCTTCCCAACTCTTTCGCAATGAGCTCAGGTCTCGACACTTTTTCAGTCTCCTAAATAAAACATAAACTTTCCTCGTAGTAAATGAATTATTTTAAAACATAGCTGATCCTATAAAACTCCAGCATTCAGTCGCGTCCCGTGTGTTGAGGTGTGATCTCTCGTAAAAAACTCAAATTTTACAACTTTTTTCTATCTCTCATTTTTCCCCCTTTTTTTCGACTCTAAGAAACATGGCCGAACTTGATTTGCTTCTCTCAAAATTTGGAATGAATGCTGAAGTTTTGGTGACCTCGTGTTACAAAGGCTCCCAGCCGTGGGGCAGTGTGATGTTAAGCGCACGATACAAGGTTATTTCACGATTGACTGGGCGAACCCGCGTCAATTGTGGCTTATTATTGACATTAGTCAAAAGAGACAGTGTGTACAAGAAATTTTATTGTTGTTATGGTTGGATTTTGTCGCTATTTCTAACCTCGAAGTCTTTCTTTTTAACCACATACTCCAAGTCAAACTTTTGGTCCTCCAATTTGCAGATGCGGTCATAGTAGGCCGAAATTACTTTCTTCACTTGTTCTGTTTTTGACCAACAACAAGTTTATTAATACCTAGTCAAAATAACACTTAAAATACGTTGCAAGAGAGGCTCGCCATCGAAATGATCCGATCTTACCGAGCGATTTCTGCATTGTAAAAATAACACTTTTCCGGTGGGAATTTCAACTAATTTAGCAATACTGGTGAAGAAAAAATTAGCGCACACTTGGAAATAAATCCGCTACAAAGATGGATGCAGCGATTCACACGATCAGATATAATCGGGTGTTTTGCTGTTCCAATACTTCAGGGACGGGTAATTTTTTCCGAATATACATATACGATTGGAAATTAGACAGCAGGCTAAACCACCACCAAAAAAAGGTATTAATGGCTAATTGCAAGAGGCACAACATGGATTCCAAAATTACTGAATTCCGGAAATGATTAACTTTCTGATTAAATTACGGCTATTTATATTTATCTCCCACTGTATGATTGCTAAATGCTACCATGAAATAGGAAATAAAGCTATGGAGATTGAGAAAGTCTTTAATAATGGTACAAATCTAAAACTTCCACTACCTATCTCTTTTTTTAAGTTGCCTTATAATGCTTTCATTTTTTATTGATTTTGACGGTTGGTTGTTAAAAATTGTCTTAACCTTTCTTGTATACAATTACTGAGTATGTGATCAAATTATTAATGAAGAGAGTCTCTGAATGTGCTTACCTTCATTTGCATTATCTAAATCTTTTGGGCTACCACACCTTTCTTCAATAATCCTCCTCCTTTCAGCTGCTTTCCTTTCTTGTTCTTTCTTTAATTCTTCGGCGGCCTTTTTCCTCAAAAGCAACTGAAAAATTGAAATGCGTCGTTGATAATGAACAGACAATATGAAATTCAAGCGAACATATTCAGTAGAAAGCTATTCGGATAATCTAACAGACTTTCTTGTGTTTTTTGTTTCAGTGCAAGGGCAAGGTTGTGGCAAGTGCTTGATAAAACTGATAAAAGCTCTGTGACACTTTCATCACTTTTTCTGTTGAAATGTAATTTTCAACTCCTAATTCGTCTTTCTTGTCAAAAAAAGAAACTTCAATTGATTGGCGCTATTGATATTGGCCAAAATTATGGTTTTTAAAACAAATGTGATCCCTAATAAAAATTGGCAGTAGAATCTGTGTTCCAAAATACGATAGACCTACAGCCGGCTGTAAGATTTCCAATAGCTTCTATAGCCGGCTACACAATTTCTTATAGCCTTCTATAGCTGATGGCGACTAAGCAACTCACAGATAAAGTGTATGCTAAACATCACTAATTACGGATGCTAGGACTAAGTGAGTTTTTGGACCACTGCTCTCTTTTTGGGTGGTAGATTCATTTTGCGAGGAAAGCTCCGTACTTTTGATGGATGCCTGCCATTCTTAATATATTAGAGCGCCTTCAGTTTCGTATGATATTGTGCAATACCTCTGGTGTGAAATAGTTGCTTCAAGCGCCGTGGCACGCCGCGGCGCGGCAGGCGAGTAGCCAGCGCAAAACGCGCGTTGGCGCCTACAAACCTAACAGGGATACTTCACGCGTTGCGCAATGCGTGAAGTATCCCTGTTAGGTTTGTAGGCGCCAGTGCTTCGCCGCTCCGCTTTGTGTTAGGCTCTAATATTTAATCTGGCGGAGTCAGCGTTATTCAACTCTTGATTTTGAAATGTTTGCACATCCTGTATGGATTGTTCTCGTTTTAATTGATGAAAAAAATATACATTAAAGGAAAATATAACGTGTGTTTTGTAATTATTAAGGTGGTTCCGTATCAAACTCAATGATTTCCAAAGCACACGAATTTCTACACAATTTCTTATATATAAATTAAGGTATGAAGTAATAAATTACAAACCATTATGTTGCCATTTCTTATATCCTTTTATAATCGATGGCGAAAAAGCAACAGCCAGGCGATAAAGTGTAAGGCCCGGTGATAGGAACTATAGCCCGGCTGCATAATTTTTTTTCGCTTCGTATAGCCCGGTCGTATGATTTTCTCCGGATTCTACAGCCAGCTATATGCTTTTCTGTAGCCTTCTTTAGCCGGCTATGAGAATAATTGAAAAGCAACAATTTCCGCTCTTTCTATCATTCGACATTTTTAAATTTGGATATTTTTAATTGGAATTATGATCTCTAAAAGTCCTGTTTTTTTATTTCTTTAAAAATAATGTAAAGGAGCCACTTACCCTCAATTTCTTCTTTCTGTCTGGGGTCATGAAACCTTTCTTTGCCTTTTTGGCCTTGGATGCTTCTTCCATCCGCTTCCGGACCTCCGCCCTCTTCCGGTCGATTTCGGCCTGTTTGGCCTTCTTTGCCTGAAAGAAGAGTGATACATTTTTACTTCCATTACTTACTTACCGTCTGAATTGAACGATTTCTTCATGGCAATTTTTTTTGGAATACTTTGTACGCAATAAAAAAAAAAAAATATAGGAGATTCGCATCTGAAGATCCATCTTATAAATATTTGTTGTTATAGGTAAACTTTATGGCACGTGAAAATTCCAAAAAAAGTTGACGTCATATTTATTTTCATTACAACGCACTGTTCTGGATCAACATATTGACTAAACATATATCTGGTTTGATGATTGTTGATTTCGATTTTTTTTTGTAGCCATCATTTTATGCACGTATTTTAACTTAGGAACAAGTTGAGGCAATTTTGAACTCCTAACTCTAGCCCCTAACATAAATACTAGATATCTATTTCCTTCAGTTTTGGTGCGGAAAAGTTTGATGAACGCTTTACATTGTGAAAGGCTTGCTCTAAAAGATCGTCCTGACCAGGGCCGGATTTACCTGCTTGCCGCCCATGGGCCGCCTGTATTTTGCCGCCCCCTTCTCAATCGTTTTTAAAGATCCAAAAAAACCATCAAGTGATCGTGCCGGAGGGGGAGGAGTGCATAAGACGTGTTTACCTACTCGCGCTGGATACATTTTTTGCGAAAGCCCTGTCAACACTACTGGCAAAATTTCACGGAACTTGACGCGAAAGTCAAGCTCCGTAAACCTATCTCTGTGTGGACAAGATCCTTCTTTTTAAGAAATGAACCAAAGAATTATGAAAGAACGAACATAAAATGTGGTTTAACAATTTTAACTTCCGCCGCTGCGCCGCGCTAATCACATTGTGTCTGGCGCAATGCGTGAAGTATTCCTACAGTCTTGTAGGCGCTATGCGAGTCAAACCAACCGCTCCTGACCGCACTGTGTTTGGCGCAATGCGTGAAGTATTCATGCAGTCTTGTAGGCGCTAATATTTGTTACATGCCGACCGCCGCGGCGTAGGCTTGTCCTTTTCATCTCAAGTCCTCGTCAGCATTCCTCTCTGCGCTGAGCTCCAGGCCTAATTGCGTGTTTAGTTCCTATCTTAACTCGACTAATTAAAGATGCTGTCTCTTGTAACACCGAAAAACGACAAAATTAGAAATTACTATACTTTCAGGAAAGAAAGATTTTGTCCTCTTTTCTCATCGATAATTTTTTTTTTTTTCTGAATCCGATTTTTTTATACTTGCATTTAAAAAAATTGCAAAATTTGCCGCCATGGGCCGCGGCCCATGCGGTCATTGTGGCCACCCCCTTAATCCGGCCCTGGTCCTGACTTCTGAGCTGAGCTTATTCAGAGATGAAGAATCGCTCTCTGGCACTTTTACTGGGCAAACAGATAAACAATCCAGTTAAAAAAAAAAAATAAAAAAAAAAAATCTATTGCAGTATGTAAAATTTTTCGAAAGTTCTTTATGTATTTCAAAATACACGCTGATTCTAGGTAGATAAACTTCAATCTCCTTGACGAACGCCAATTTTCATGTTATCAATAAAGGCTCTTCGACTTGGGTATTCGAGAGTCTGATAGTTTGAAACTTCAGACTGATTAAGCACTGGATTCTGCTGCCTCTCCTTGCGAAAACGGACGTGACTCATTACCTCATTTCCTGTAGGTTAGAATTTAGGAATATGATACCGTTGATCCATTCCTTTATACCCGAAAAGTCTTCTCATGAACTACATTACCTCTTCGATGCGTTTCCTCTGAAAAAGAAAACAAAACAGAATGCATTAATTTTGGGTTTGAAAGTAATTTATGTTCTCAAAATGGATTAAAATTAATTTATCTTCATAATTCACAATTTAAAGATATCCAAGGAAAGGTGCATACAGAGAAGGGCGTTCATCGAGTGAAAACTGTAAGATCTTAACTCGGGGCATTAGAGAGAATTTAAAACTTCTGCGCAATACAGCTTTTCGAACCCTCAATATGTATGCGTCTATAAATGACCGGAAAAATCCTGGTTTTGCGACGCGATCAAAATTGCGCGATTAACTTTAAATAAAATTAGTAAAGTTTCATGCATTTGCAGCACTGGCTACACTGCCACCCGCCATTCTTAATTTTGAAGTTTTTGTAATTCAATTCTAGCGATCATTATTGTTATACTCTATTTACTGATATCACAATGGTGTACCTAACTGCGCGCGGGCAGTTTCTCGATCGATTAAAAAGGGAACGTCCTCCTATTTAAGTGGAAAAATTAACAGACATAAAACTCAAATAAAATAGACAAACACGGACTTGACTCAGAATATTCAAGGGGAAACATATATTTAAACGTTTTACACAGGACAGATATCATTTACGACCACATTTCTTATTACTGTTGGAGTTCCTTTCGAACTCCGTAAGTAAAGGACCGACGATTACAACAAACATAACATAAAATAAAATTTGGGGTAGGTACAAATATTTTCAGAGTTGCAAAGAGAGTCCTAGATTTAACCAACAGGATTTCAGGCAGTGATTCTTCAGGTGAAAATTTCTTCAGGACTTTCGATCATATGGGGGGGGAGTATAATTTTCACCGAAAAAATAGCTCTGTCAAATCCCGTCGGTTGAACCTAGGACACCCTGCAGAGCTTGACAGATGGGACACTGTTATTAGCTTTAATATCGAAGGTGACCAATGGCATGCCTAATATTTTTTTCTAAATGGGATTTTTGAGAGTGATTTGCAACTAGGCACAGGATAATAACTTCTGCATGCTCTTAAAATAGAGTCAATTATAGGAGAACTGTAGAGGCTAATCGATGGCCAAATTTCTATATCACGTATCTCCATTGCGAAATTTTAAAAATCCCGCTCCTATTTTATTTTTTCGAGTGAAAAATAGCCAACATCATAACTTGAAATTCCTACAGAATATTCGGCTGACAAAAGAAAAAATATTCCAAATTTTCAAAAAATCGCATCGACTTGTTTTCCAAAGAAAAAATAGAGTATGATGGGAAGTTTGCGACATAGCAAACAGAGATACGACCAACCTCGGGCCACCATAATGTTTTTCAGTATTGACCGATACGATAGAGACTAAATGTAAGAGATCATTGATGCCAATGGTCACAAAGGTATATATGTAAATGGCTTAAGAGTAACATATATTTGAAGGAAAAGTGACACAGAAAATAACGTAAAGTTTGTTAGTAGTGACACTGACACTCGCAACAATGCAAAAAAAAAACATTCAAAGAATCATTGAGTATTAATGCACAGAAACACACAACGTTTGGACACTTTGTTTTATGTTTTGAGGGCGGGGATAAGTTGCCATCACATTGCTAAACCTGCATAAGTTCAAAGTTTACTCATGAAGGTTAACATCAATATGTGTCAAAGTTGAAGTATGCTTTCACAGAATGTGGCATCTGGCAAAAAATAATTTTAATTTTTTTTTGTTTGTTTGTAAGAGCCAGAGGCCGGCTACACCTTGCAGGTACATAACACCCGCGCCCAGAGATGCAATAAATGGAATGCATTTTTTTGTTGAAGTGGAATTTCAACGATTTTTTAGGGGCTAAACCCGGAATAATTATTAGAGGATTCATTAAGAAACCTCGAAATTTGAGTAATGCGTTTTTCTCTTCGAACTTGTAACATAAAGATTTTACTGGTTCTACGAATCTTTCGCAAAAGATTTAAAAGTTTCCTTACAGAAAGTTTGATGAAATTTTGCACCTCTGCCCCCCTCCTTTCAAAACATGAACGTTTTAATTTTTTCTCAAATGGTATTTTTCCCTTCTTTCCATAAATAGGCATAAAAGGGGATCTTTCCCCACTGAAGTATGTCAAATAATGTATTAAATTGTTCTCCCCCCCCCGGTCGCCACTGGGAAATTTTACCACCAGCCTCCCTTTCCAAGAAGATGCATACTTAGTGAAAGGGGGAGGGGGCGGAAAGATCCTAAATCGGGCCCTGTTTGCGTCCTCTAATTCAATTTAGATATTTTAAAGGAGATGAAGAAGTTCGGATTTTACTGTTGGGGACCTGCAATGTGACAGCAACATACATTGGGAGATATGTTTTCACAGACGATTGGAACGAACAATTTTCTGGGTGACAATTATCCCACAATAGGACATAGGTACGCTGCGGTGACGACACAGAATGCCGAAAGTAAAAATATCTTACTCATTTTAAGATCGTCCAAGTCAAGGGCTTCCACCGTTGACATCGATATCTAAATGCTGGAATTGTCTTGCAAATGATGAAAAGCGTTAATAGGTGTCGGTGTATTGAGACCGAGTGCTCAATGGTGCACCCAATTTTTTCCAGTCGTTCTGAATTTTCTCCAAAACCAGGAGTTACTAATTAAATTTTTTATTTTTTAAATTTTTTGATGTTTTTTTCCCCCTTTTCCTAAATTAAACCGCGATGATGCATGAAAAGTATGTTTGCCGTCGTATAGATCGACATTCATGATTTGTTTTTTCTCTCGTTTCCTTTCTCCCGTGCTTTCAGCATTTTGTAGAGAACTATTACGTGTAAAATTACGTGTATGATTCGTAAATGATTTTGTGAAATTGAGAACGACTGGAAAAGTGGAGAATGAAATCCATCAAGATTGGTGCTATAAAAATGGTGTCATTAAATCAGTCGAAAGAAAGAAACAGTGTCTGAATCTTTCGTTTATGTACAAAACTGTGCTACACAATAATACCAACTACCTAAGTATCTACGAGTTTGCTAACACTATGATGTTTTAGTAACGAATTTTGGCCTTTTGAGTTTAATCCAAAAGGTAGTGTGATAAAAAACAAGCCATGTTTGAGAGGTTTGCCAAAGACAAATTTCGGAACCGAAAGCTATCAGTATTAAGAGTGTCGACTTATTCATTTGTTGGCTGTGTATTGACCATTATTCATGCAAAAAATACCACCCATAGGAATAGTGACTACTAAATATTCTTTTAAAAACTTGTAAATTCATGAGAGACACTCATGAAAAAATTTTTAAAAACATTTTAAGTGTCGAAACCCACATCAGATCTTTTAGGGTTTTTTTTTTTTTTTTAAATTCCTCTTCCCACTTCAATTTTACCTCTTGTTAACTTTACTACAAAAGGGTTTCCTAATCTTAATGTGATAATAACAAGAGTAAAATATGCCACAATTTTTTCCAGGCATTCATCCTATTCTATCAATAAGAGAAAGAAATATGTGAATCTAGTGGGAAGCCGTTATTTCCGGCTCATTTTAGAAACAACGTATGTGGATGAGCACGAAATAGTATTCGCGCGCTGTGTAATGAATCCCTTCTCAAAGTGTAGTGATGTCCTGAGTGCATGTGAATCATGAATGTATCGCTAAAATTCAGGCATCAGGCTAATCGAGCTTTTTTTTCGATAGCATGCGGATGCATATTCAAGACTGTCTGTGATTATTAAATCATGCTTTATCATCAGCAATTAAAGGGGCAGTATTCGATGTCTCCCTTATTAGAATGACGCTACATCCATACTGTTAAATCGCAGCTCTCAGAGACGAGAGTAACCCCTGGCGAGACGAAAGAGCGGGCATCTCACAAGATTTAAAACTTGATTGTATCTGAAAAGTGTGGGCGATAAAGATGTTCCTCTTATTTACACGATTTGAATTTTCGGTTTTAATTTTATTTTATTTCTCGAATTTTCGCCTGAGCAAAGAACTAGAAAACACGCAAACAACACGAAAAGCAACACAAGCATCATCAACATACCTCATTATTAAGAAATAATTATTTCATGTCTGTGAGAAACGGGAAAACGAAGAGCGATATCGATTTTCAAGTCCAGGTCGAGAGTGAATATGAAAACAAAATTGGAAACAGAAAAAAAGAAAAGAAAAAACATTAGTTCAGATGTAATTTTAAAGGCTTCAGTGCCTCAATTTTCCCTCATTGTGACACAGTTTCATGGAATAAAGAAGAAAAATTAGCACTTAGTTTACGGATTCTTTTGGACTTCTGTAAAATTTCCATCGGGGTCGCAAAACTAGATTCTTTGACCCAGTCCTATATAAATATCTGCACTGATTTTGTCCACATGAACTGGATGGATCTAACGTAAATCGGTGTAAATATGGTAGGCGTCTGCACTGCGACTACGCGACGCTATGTACACTATACCGATAAAATAGCCGTGCAAAGCAAAAACGCCTTCAATTCTGCGAAATACTACTCGCATCGTCGCGGTGTTAGTTTAGTTGCTCAGTAAAATGAAACTTAACCGATGTACGTTTCCTGATTTTCTCTGATTTTTTTTTTTTTTTTTTTTTTTTGAACAGAGAACAACTAAGCAACACTGTGACTAGAAATTGTATGGGTGTATTCTTCATAATCTGGGTAAATTCGCAGAAAGTTCAAAGACTTTGCCTACTTTCGTCCCCTGTTAAAAAAATTAACTGCAAACCGCATCATGTCTAAACCGAGAAAAAATGGTTTCGCATACCCTCGCAAGACTCAATGGTACAAACAAATTTTAACGCAAAAAATTTTAGCAAATTTTAAAATATTTTTCACTGACTTTGAATTTCTAATTGGAGAAAATTTATGACTTGCTAAATTCAAAACTACTGCAACTTATATTTTTATTCATTTTTTTCTTCTTTTTAAATCCAAAATGCGACTTAGTACGTTTCTATTCAACTCCTAGCCCAATCAAGGCTCGGATTTGCGAAGCAATTATTTTAACTCTCAAGTCGTCATATTCCTTAGCACTTTTTTGAAGGCAAAATGATAGTATCGCAAGCAAAGCGGAACTTTCTCGTCACTCATGCAGAGCTCATTTTCTTTTCTTTTTTAGGCGTGGCTGAGCGGAAATATTTGTCTGAAAATAAAAGTTTAAAGTAGGTTCATAATAGAAATTGATAATTAAAAGTTGATGTGAGGCACATTTTCGTGCGGACACGGTCATGAAGTCGTTCGATGAAATGTTGTATCGAAGAACTTATGTTTGGAAAAGTTTGATTGAGCACAATTAAAACGATGATTTTTGCAAAGTGAAAGAATAAAAAGTAGATGTGGGAGAAGAGGGCAAGAGAAGAGATGAGAGGAAGAAGAAATGAAAAAATGAAGCGAAGAAGATGGGAGCAGGAAGAGGAAGAAGGAAGAACAAGGGAAGGAGGAGGAGAGGAAGAGTCATCATGAGGGCCATCGGTGATTCCAATCAAGGTCACTGACGAAACCGATAAGGTCACTCATGAAATCAGTGCCCTCTAAGGCCGTTGGTGAGGTCATTGCTTCGATCTCGACGGGGTAATCACCGATGGCGGACTAGCGCCAAATTTCCTAAGGAGCAGGCCCCTTAAAAAGAAACATGGAGGTGGCAGGAGCTGATAAAATGGAATAGGGGAGGTTTTAAAGAGGCCCTAGGTTCTGTGAGATATCTCAAGAAGTGCTGGATGAGGCGCAAAAAATCTTCCAAAAGGGACCTCTGTAAGGGGTCATAATATCCCAAATTTAGGGAGCAATCGAGAAGCCATTTCAAGAAAAGGCGTGAAACAAGATCATGATGGTATCGAATCTCTGGATAAAACTGCCGTGCTAAAGAAAAGCGCCGTAAGAGCATTTAGCCGTTGCCATATTTATTTCAATAAAAAACTTTACCGGGAAAACTTAATTTTTCTCACAATTTTGTTCGCAATTTCATTTAGAACATCTGAAAATTTCAAGGAATAATATTCATAGCTTTCTTCAAAGATACATATTTTATTCGGGATAATTTGGTAACCCTCAAATGTTCATACGGGGTTTTTTCGTGGGATTTCTTCTGCGTTAGCACGGCGAAAAAAATCCTAGGATAAAGAAAGAATACAAGTACTTTTCAAAATTTCCTCCTCAAACTTTCAAGCACACCGAGCGTATCGAAAATTTTGCAAAATGAACTCATGACAGGGTAACCAGAGTTAATCGTTTACATTGGGACAAGGGATCAGATCCACAGGTTCTTAGTTCAATTACAACAACGTTAGAAAGTCTTAGTCGGCAATTTATCTATTTCGCAGTCTGAGCAGCAATCGCAGGCAATTTACAAAATAACTCTCAATTGCAATAATTTGCATACCCATAGCAAAGGTGTTATTTTTAGAGAACTTCAAAAGCACGATCTTGGCAAGCCAAGATTGAGGGCGCTCCATAGAGCGCCTTCAATTCCCGTGATACTTTGCGCTTTGCTAGACAGTTAGTTTAGATGCCTATCCGAACAAAACCTAGCTAAGGTCATTGATTCCGTAACAGGCAATCGCGAGTTCGCTAGCTGGTACCATGCATTCATCAAAAGGAGAAAAACGTGCATCCGATTTTGAAAAGTAATAATTTGTACTTCCTTTATAGTTTTTTTGCTCCGAATTTTTACATTTCTTCATTAATTACAAATAGATTGCACTTTGCCGGCAATTTCTAATTTCCTGCGTTTTTTTTCTACACTCAAGGGATGTTGAAAATTCTCTCTTAGAATTGGACCCTGCTATAACAATAGTCAGGCCAACTACACCAAATGTTACCTAATTTCATCTTGTATTTTGTTTTTTCACTCAAAATCCGTGCAACATTCAGCCTCGAGATTTAGTGCGTGCGTTTATTATACTCTTAAACAAATTTTGAACAATTTGACCGCTTTGAGTAACTTATAATAAAAAAAATGTCAAGTATTGGGGAAAATTAGGCAACGTTAAATGTGATTAATGTTGAATCTCATTAAATTTGTTTCATTCATCATAACTTTGTTTGTGACTTGATGAAAATAATCTTGAAATTCTCGATACAAACTGTAAATACAGATATTTTTTCCAGGACACATCTACTCGTATTTTAAGTGTACTTGACACAAGTAAGCGCCGTTTTCCGAAAGTCATCATATCCAACTAAAGAATGTTAAGCTGTTACCTTTGTTTCGTATGCAAGTTATTTTTATCGGTGGGAGGAAAAGATGCGGAAATATAGTCAAAGATCACTCACCTTACCTCGTCGTCAGCCATGGTGGTTCTGTGTTACTGGATCTGAAATGAACGAAAAGCGGAAATTAATGGAACTCTCCCGATCTGAAGTAGATACAACAGACAATACAATACAATACATTACAATTAAATAGTGCGATTAAATTATTTTTCAAGTCTATCGATGTGTGAAATCGGACACCCTTGTTGACGGCGAAACTCCCAAACCATCTCGGTTGGGGAGTTTCAAAATTTCTGCTCCATCCCACTTCATTTTTTCTTGAAGAACATATAAACATCGAACCTTGAAGTTCCACAGAATATTCGTCACGCAGAGATGAAAAATCACGGAGGTTTTAAAGAATTGGCTTTGAGTGGTTTTTTTTCAAAAAATAAAGTATGACAAGAAGTCTGCAACGTCGCAAACCGATATACGTGGTTTGGGAGTTTTAGCGTCGATAAGCACCCTTCCAAGGAAAAAAAAACCTCTATCACAAATACTTGAAATTAACCCATGAACTCACGAGAGCGTAGATAAATAGGTACTCAATGAAATTTTGAGGCAAGAAACACCAAATAAATCGAACCAACCCGAAGCCTCAGCGATTTAAAGTGTCAAAACAACGTAATTTCGAGGAAAAGCAATCTGAAATTCTGATCGTCAATTTTCAAAATTGCCGGATCATCGCGAAATTTTGGGCCCTCTTTTGACTCAAAATTGAACCGACCGATCGAAATTTATCCGCCAGAGAATTCCCTATCGAGCTTCAAGCTCGGTAACGCGTTTTTGTCTTAAATGTCAAATCACCATTGCCTAAATTCAAACCAATTCCTGAATCATGCAACAGCCGCCCCTAGTTTTAGGCCGTAATAGACAGGATCACTAGCGTTACGGTATGAGAGTCCATTTCTATGTTCAGCCAAACTCTCGATGCACAGATAGGAACCAAGTGTACATTCGCAATGTTGCCAAGTTTCTTTGAGGACCTCAAAGATGGAATCACGGCAACCCTGAAGATGCATTTCGACGGTGAAAGTCGGCAATCACATAACTCGTTTGCGGTGTCTGAAAATCTCCGCCTCTACGTCATTTTTTTAAAGGAGAACAAATTGATATTATCTCTTGAAGTTTTTGCAGAATTTTCTTCGCATTGAGAAGAAAAATCATGACAGTTTTAAAGAATTGCCGTTGAGTAGTTTTCCATTTTAAAAATAAAGTATGACAGGAAGTCTGCGACGTCGCAAACCGAGTTATGTGATTGCCGACTTTCACCGTCGATTTGCCCCCTATGGAGGGGTACCGTACTCTTACCGTAACGTAAGCGATCCTCGCCAATGCGGCCTCAACTTTGAAAGCTTTTTTTTCATCTAAGGATTATTTTCGAGGAAAAAATCAATGGCACCGTCGCGTTTCTCACAAAATCTTGAATTCAATTTGAAAAAAGCTTGAATCGCAAATCCATATGGCATTGGAGAGCTTAATCGAAAAACTTGTTAACTCAAATTGGATTGCATTTTGCAAAAAGGAACCAAGATCATTGCAATTTTGCTAAGATTGCGCAACTTCTTTTGCCGTGGAAGAAAAACCTGACCATCTATAAAAAATTTCTATCTTACACCCGAAAAAATGTAAATTTAAGACAACAATCATCATGTGAATTTCATATTTTTGCATGATTTTAGTACTTTTATCGCAAAGAATGAAGCTGCACAATCATAGCAACACTGCAATGCTCTTGGTTCCTTTTTGCAAAATGCAATCCAATTAACATTTGCCTAGATTAAAAAAATCATTAAATTGGTGAACATTTTTTGAACCTCAAAAAAAATTAATTTAAAAAAAAAAAAATTATTCAGATCAAATATGAGTTTTTCTTACATTAAAAAAACGCTTGTAAACTACTTTTTTCAGTGTAAAATTCTGCAACGCTGGGGCATGCCGAGGAAATGTGGGAAGGGAGGGGGTGGTTGTTGTTTTTGAAAATGTAGGACGGGAGGTGCGTCGAGCGGCGACCGGAACGTACTGATGACGTAGCCCGCTGAAAATAGCCGGCGACCGCCGTTCTTATCCTTCGAGTCAGGGGCTGCGCGCGCCAAGAAAGGAGTCTCGATCTAATTATAACGTCAGTCATGTTCGGCGAGCCGAGCTCAATGCGCCGCTCGTGAAAAACTTCACACTCGCCCCTTCAAAAAAATTATCTCGCGGATCTGAGATGATGCAAATCTTACCGAAAAAAAAAAGAAAAAAAAATTCCTCGTCGAATGGAAAATTTTGATCCTATTTCGTGATCAGATTGGCTAGTTGATTGGAAAAGACTAGGTACAGCTGTTTTTCCTACGAGAATGGGTCACTTGAACTAGTCATTTAAACCTTGGCACCTGGTCTCTTCGAGAATCGATACATTGCCATAGGTTGGGGAAAAAATATGTTGCCAATTTACAAAAAATTTATAAAAAAAAATTAAAAAATAAAAAATTAAGTAAAACAAATTAAATTTGATTAAATTATTTGAAATGAATTATTTTTTTACAAAAAATCTTTCCAATTTACTGAACCCGCTGCTGAGGGAGAAAGCCCTTTTGATCGTGAGGTGTGAATCCCCTACAAGTTTATTTCACCCCCAAAATAGTCCAAACTACACGCTCCATTAACTTGCATATTTGAATGGGATGTGCATGAATTAAAAGTGCTCAGTAATGAAATTAACTCCTCGGTTTTTAATATTGGATCGTATTTATACATTTTTATATAGAATTTTGCGAGAAACATATCGGTGCCATTTTTTCCAGCTATAATAATGAACTAATCAACTCGTGCAGAGAACTTATATTTGAAATTATTAAAATCGGACGGCCAAAATGGCATTAAGTAATGTGTCAGTTACTCTACTCTAAGAATCGTCTCTTATTAATTGATTTCAGGTTTAGATTAGGAAAAAATAATAAAATTAGTCCAAACAAAAAGTAGTTTCCGCATCCAATATTACAACGATGACGTCATGACCGTGTTTTTCGAAGGGCGATGTACCGCTGTCAATATTAGACGTAGGTACGAGGCGTTCGAATGGATCGTGTTACTTGTTGCCTACCTTCAAGCCTGAACCATGAAAACGCAATTTTGTGACCAGCGCAACTGACTCTACATCGAATGCCGAAAATTTTCAGCTGGTTTAATTTTTTGCCTTTTCCTAGAATTTTTTCCCCTCAGAGTTGACACTTTTTGAAATAAGCTATATAGTCAATCGAAAAATCCGCATGCGGAATCGATCAAAGGTTCCTGGCTTCGCGTGCTACTCTTTTCCTGTCTAAGTGCGCCACTCATTTATACTTTGACGACTGGACATTCAATACTTAAACGGGGTAATTGCTATCGTATGAGGCTGAGGCAGCAGCGTGTTAGGTTTGGCAACACCTCGTTTCACCAGTTTGGAAATATGTATAACTATCGATATATATCGAGAATAGAATCGATTATTATGAACAGCATAAATTAAGGTAGGGGGTTAAAAATGGGCATGAATTTTGAGGGAAAATACAATTTTTGGGAATTTGCCCAGAGAACCGAATGAAAGGAGACTCCGTCTAATATCGAGCGACTCATATGAGCTAGTCTTGATTTGATTTGGGACATTGTTGTCAGATGAGGCTGATTGTTCAGCGCATCCCAATTAAAGCCCAAGTAAAATATCCAAATTTTATCGCACAATGTAGCAACCTCGCTTTACGAGGGGAGGGGAAGGGGGAGGGTTGAAAACGGGGGAAATAAACGTCAAGGAGAAGATTAACGCCTAAACTGCCGTACCAAGGAAAAACACGGTGCAGATGCTTATATTAAATTTCTATGCACTTAAGTATTGGATTTCGCCAAAAATATGCTAAATTAGGTGACGATGTATCAAGACACATAAAAGAGTTTTCTCAAGAAAAATGAATACTAAAACGAAATATTCTTATTTCTGGATCCAAGCGGTCTTTTTTTGAAAGGCTGGCTTGCAAGAAAAAAAAAATCCTCTCATGAAAGATTATTGATCATGGATTTGTAATTAATATCGACAGTGAAATACGAAAATGTGGGATTTGCAGTGCTTCAAAATCTTCACTCCTGTCTTATTTTTTACAAGAAGTCCGAACCGACTACATAGCTTGAAATTCTCTCAGAATATTCTTCACGCAAAGAAGATTATAGCTAAATTTTTCGAAAAACGACATTTGGTAGTTTTCCATGTAAAAAATAAAGTATGACAGAAGTTTGCAACGTCGCAAATCGAGATACGCCTTTCTACAGTATCACCATCGGTAGTTAACGCTAACGCCACACAATACCCGAAAAACTAATCGCCCGTGACTTAATTCTTGGTTTCGGGCAAAAGCTTTAAAGTGTGAGAAATTAAATGCACCAGTGTGCTAAATTAAAATTTTTCATGCTAATTTTAATTTCCAAGTATCATTTTAATGTTGAACTATCGATCAATAGTTTCCTTCAGTTTTATTACTCGGTCAACACCGGAGGCAATGAGCAAGGGGCGGAGGGGGGAGGGGTGCATTTGGAATTTAAAATTTTTGAGGTCAAGATCATCCATGAGTATAAGGATTTTCATCGCTCTTCAAAGGTCATTTCGAGGATTCCCAAATATTTTCCGGGGAGCAAGGTGCCTTCCTAAAATGACAAAACTGGTCATTTTAATCTGGGTTGTGTCTGAAACAGTGATGATCTTTTTCGGAAATTGCACCATCAGCAAGGGCGACAAATTTTCACTGAGGAGGAGGAAAACTAGGAAGGGAACCGCAAATTTTAAGTTTTATCGGGAAATACTACTATTTTGCAAATCATGATTAGAGATATAATTCCTAATAACGAATGGATATCGATTTGAAACTCAGGAATTAACTCTCTATGAGACTAAAAAATGACGGTAATGGAGTATATTTTCGGCCGTTGTGACTAGGTAGGTATTAGACAGCGAAATTAGAGCCGACAGAACCATTCACAGCAGATGCTCGAAACTTTACATCATTATACTAATATTTATTTCTGCTGTTACTTTCAGCCTTTTTTTAAAACAACTAGATTTCAAAGAGGTTATTCTTGGAGAAAAACGCGAATTTAATGGTATGAACAATATTGTCGAAAGAAGTTATGTAGTATTGCTCAAAGCGTTGAATGACGATCACATTCACAGATGAACTGGATTTGCGTGGAAGTAAACTTAGAAAAACTGAGAAATTTCGAAATCCTGGAAGCAGGAAACATAGACGTTACGAGTTCCAATAAATGAAAAAAAAAAACCAACAAAACTTCACTTTCACCGCAGAACCAAACCCTGTACCTCAAGTCAGAACAGCGAGCACAAAATCGAAATTACTCCGTAAAGAGGGCACCGATTTCACACAGGCACTGTTAGAAAATGAGTCTTATAAGTGGAAAAATTAAGGCAGAAAATAATTTTAGTGAAACTGTGAAGTTTCTAACCTGAAAAAATAAAGAGGGATGACGTGTGAACCACTGACTAACTATCCCAAACGAACATTGAGAACTGACTACAAAAATAGCCCACTGCGCGAGTTGGCTCGCTCTGATACTCAAAACGGAACACTATTGGTCGAAATCCGAGCCAATGGTTCTGACTTCATGGAGTCTAAGCAAATAATCAACTCGCTCTTTAGTTTTCCAATGGGCCTTCGTAAGCCTGGAAAGAAGGATAAAATTTTGATTAATTTCAAGGACCATGCAACTTGAAATTGAATTAAAAATTTTGGAGAGTGAGGGAGGGGCTGGATTCATTGGTGATTTGGCTTTCAATATATAATTGACGTGCTCAGAGCCAAAATACTGTAAGTGTATCGGACACGGTTGCCTGATTTTAATAAGAATTCTAGTTTAAAAAATCGCCTGCAGCAACAGCGGATGAAAAAATAAAGATAATGAAATAAAAGACTAGTAAATTTCAAAGAGGGAACTCCTAAAAAAGTATCATAACTTCTGAGTTCATTAACCTGTTTTGCTCTTCTTTACGTAAAAATGACACTTTGCACGTACTCGTGCAAGTTTTTTATGACTTTATTCTTCGTAAGTTTCAACACAAATACATTCATTTTACATGCAATTTTAGTTCAATTTTTGGATATTCCTTTCAGTTAACGCAGCCCTGTGTCCTCTCCATCCCTCGGTAACGCAGGCTTTAACCCCCCTCTCTCCCCCTACGAACGTATTTAATGAACGGTTTTAAAACACGCTGCGGAAATCGATGTGAAGAGTTGAAGACGAGACGTGGGGCATCGAAAACACAACGCCTGCAATTTTTGGTATATGCAATTAGCAGGTGCCGTGAGCTCGAATAGTTGCATTCAGGTTTACCATCAACGTTCTGTTTTCAGGATGTATCTTCCTGAATAACATTACCTAAACTTCTAATCCGCGGTAATATCATCTCCCCGTTGTAGTAGGTGATTGTGGGATTGATCGAAAGAATCGGGAATTTTCCGCGGAGAAATGTGATTGTACTATTTTTCCGGTGTTTCGGAAATGCGCCTACACGAATAACAGGAGCCATACCATACCATGTAGACAAACAATTATCGCCGCGTTGCAGTTAATGAATTTATGTCCGTGTAAGTAATCGAGAATTTTCCGGGATTTTCCGTGGTGAAATGTGATTGTTTGATTTTTCCGTGTGTGAGGGATGTACCTCTATGCAGAGCCGGATTCACCTACTTGCCGCCCATGGGCCGCCTATATTTTGCCGCCCCCTTCTCATTCGTTTTGAAACTCGATGAAAACCACCAAGTGAACGTGCCAGCGGGGGAGGGGTGCATAAGACGCATTTACTCGTGTTGAACACTTTTTTTGGGAAAGCCCTGTCAACACTACTGGCAAAAGTTCACTTAACTTTGCGCGAAAGTTAAGTTTCGTAAACCTATCTCTGTGTGCACAAGGCCTTCCATTCATAAGAAATGAACGAAAAAATTATGAAAGAACAAACTTACATGTGGTTCAATGATTTTAACTTCCGCCGCCGCGCCGTGCAGACCGCACCGTGTTGGACGCAATGCGTGAAGTATTCACGCTGACCGCACTGTGTTTGGCGCAATGCGTGAAGTATTCGTGCAGTCTTGTAGGCGCTAATATGTGTTACATGCCGATCGCCGCGTCGAGGGCTTCTCCTTTTCATCTCAAGTCCTCGTTATCATTTCTCTCTAAGTCGCGCCGTTCTAGGCCAAACTGCGTGTTTGGTTTCTATCGTAACTCGACTTATTGAGGGTGCTGTCTCTTGTATCACTGAAAGACGACAAAATTAGAAATTACTAAACTCTCAGGAAATGAGAGATTTTATCGCCTTCTCTCGTTTGTAATTTTGTTTTTATAAATCCGATTTTTTTTTATATACCTTTACTTTAAAAAATTGCAAATTTTTGCCGCCGCTTAGATTTGCCGCCATGGGCCGCGGCCCATGTGGCCACCCCCTTAATCCGGCCCTGGGATAACAGTACCAGATGGACTTGCAATTGTTTTTCAGCGGAAATTTCACTCCTTCGTTGTAGCAAGTGATTGTGGGATGAGTCGAAAGAATCGCAATTTTCCGGGATTTTCCGCGGTAAAATGGTATTAATTTATTTTTCCGTGGTTGTATCAAATCAAGCCGTTGTCACTTGTCAGTGACAACTTGTCACGCTACCAGTATCTCAAAGAGCCTGTCAAAAAGGGGCATTTAATGCCCTCTATGGGGACTTAAGAGATTTTTTCAAATGTGGCCTCAACAATACCTAAACATGAGAAAAGCCCTTAGTGGAAGTTTTAGCTTGAGTTCAAAGCTTAATTTGGCGATACAGCATTGCAAAGAATAGCATTGAAAATGCTAATATTTTGAAGTTCCTCGGTTGAAAGAACAACTTTACTTAATCGATTTTTATTTTCTAAGGCACAGAATCATCAGTTGACCAACTAAGCATACAACGATGAAAGAGTCCTTTAAGTTGCATTTGCCAATGTTCAGTGTCCAACATGGCAACTTTGCAAGCAGCTATAGGCAACGTCGCTTTAAACGCATGGATTTTACAGTTGATTCTAATCTGTAGAATTCTATGCCTTCTTTCAGTTTAAGAAATGTCGTATTGCCTTAAAAAATTACTTTTTCACCGTATTTTACACAAAGAATTAAAAATAATAATTCGATTTTTTATTGAGAACGCAACGCGCTCTCTCGCGGCCGTTTAAAACGGCAACTTAATTTATTTTTCTTGCAAATTTCATAAACCTCAGTTTTGCACCAGGCAACATTTACCGATTAATCTACAGGAAGCCGGAAAAATTTGGAAAACCCTCAAAATCATCGAACATTTTTTGTAAATTTTTATGAGTACGTTTATCTTGGTGTCATGGAACTTTAGGACTGACTTCTCCTTCATTTTTAGAGCTTTCAGGATCAAACTTGTGCCCGAATTTCCAGAGTTTTTCCCTTCTTCAAGCAATTGGGAAAAGTGGGGGGAAATTTTCTCCTGCAGGAGGCTGAGAATCCCATGTCATACATACAGAGTCCCGTACCAACCTTGAAAAAGTTATTGTTTTTTTCAAGAGTAGTCCCCTGATAATATCGGGGGCTCCTAAATGTCGGTTCTTTTGACCTAGGAGCACTCACAAAATTTCAAGTTTTTCCCTCAATTCGTTTGAAAGTTACAGGGATCATGTCTGGTGCTGGTGGGGCGGAACTTCTAGATCACCCTGTACATGTGGCCACATCTAAACTAAACGAAGCTGTAGGGAAATTAAAGCAATCAGAAGGAACCACGTGCGTAGGATTTGCATACTTCATAGTTCCTTTTGATTTCATTCATTTTTACGAAGTTACCCATAACATAAATACCTACGCCCAAATGAGATACAATTAAAAAAACAACAGCGTTTAAATTGAAGTGACGATCTTTCAACGGGATCTTGTTTTGTCTACTTCGTAGTATGAATGCGGCTAGGCATAAGGGAGCTCCGAACTGAGAATCCGAGGGAAACTAAGGGAAACTAAGAGAACCAGGGTATCCAGAGTCATTGTGCCCGGCTGTGTCACATACATTTTCCTTCAATTTGGAGGGTAGGCAATTGGTGATTCTCAGGAGCCTTTATAGTTGTATCCGCACTATCACCAAATAGGTACTACAACCTGAAGGACTTGCGACCAATACGTCTCGATCTAGTGAACAACGTCGTAAGAGCATTTACATGTTGCCAAATTTCTTCTGATAAAATAATTATTTTTGAGGTTAGTTTTGAACATGTTTTCTTTAAATTTTCAGATGCACTAAATACATTTCAGAAAATGTCAGTTCCTAGAAAACTTTAAAATTTAGCCGCAAGTTTTCAGGAATATTCCTGTTTAAGTAACAGAAATTTAGCAGCGTCTGGGTGTTGATAAGGCGTTTTACCTTAGCACCGCATAGAGTAGTCCGACTCACTCGCATGGCTGCGTGAGCCTGCGGACTTTCGCAGCGTTTCTTGTATTTTAAGTCACATATTGGGAATTTGGATCCATTCCAAACTATTTATGTCAGGGATATCACACACTTCTCCGTCCAGTTCAAAACCTCCTCGATTTGAAGTTCCTTTGCATTCCGAGACTGGACATCGAATACTTTGCAGAGTTTTGAAGAAATCATCCTTGAGTTCTTACAGGCTAATTATTGACTTACTCCTTGCAATTAGGAACTAATATTTTAGGCTCATTTTTAAAACAACGTCTTTGCTATTGATAGTACCTACTACGCTGACGAATGATGATTCTTCTTCCTCATCTCCTTCTTCACCTTCTTTTTCGTCTTCTTTCTCTTCTTCATTTTCTTCTTCTTTCTCTTCTCCCTCTTCCTATTCTTATTTTCTTCTTTTTTTCTCTTCTCCTTCCTCTCCTCATTCTCCTCTCTTTTCATCTCCTTCCTCTTTTTCCTGTTCTTTCTCTTCTTCTGTATCTCCTTCTTCCTATCTTCTCCTCCTCCTCCTCTTTGCTTCCTTTTCCCTTTTTTTTCTCCTCTCCCTCTTCTTCTGCTTTTTATTTTTCCTCCAGCTCTTCCGCTTTGATGTTCTTTATGTATAGATAGGTGCTATTATAGACGAGCCAAAAATAGTAGTTTTTTATTGCAAAATGTAGTCAACTTTGAGTTCTTTCTGCTGCAGATGTGTCGTTTGCGGTTGTGGTCTGGGAGACATAGTAAATCAATCCACCAGGAGGGGATCTGGAAAACTTTTCCAGCTCCCTGAACGGGGCTCAGAGGCCAAAGACCTTTTTTGCGCACTTTTTTGGCCCTTTCGTAAAAAAAAAATTCATGAAATTTCATTTATAACAGAGGTTTCTGAAATTTTGCATCTCGACGGTGAAACAGCAGCTATACTCATCACGATTGAAGTGTTTTGAAATTTCCACTCCTATTTTATTTTTTAAAAAAAGACCCAACGACGTAATCATTTGAAATTTTCATAGAATATTCTTCATATGAAGAAAATAAAATCACCCAAGTTTTCGAGAAATGACGTTGATTAGTCACTACGGAAATATCAATGTGCGACAGTAATTCTGCGAGGCCGAGCTTAAACCGAGGTCCACGG